TGTGTGCATATAAGTGTGTGGGTGTGTTTGACAGTTCCGGGTTGAAACAGTTCAATGGATGCACCGTCCAGTAATGACTTGCGATCTTTCAAACGGATATCACCCGCTGTGTCTCACTCTCAAAAGAAATGATTCAATTTTGTTTTTCGCCGAAGGAGTGGAAGTTTGCACAGATGGGAAACACGTACTTCCTCATCCCCGCGATAAACTGTGTCGGGGGAACTGCTCACCCAGATATATTATGCGGAAATGCTCAAACTGCATGATCGTGTACAGATAATTGAACTAGCATACCCTCGTGAGATGCTGTTATATATAGATATAGACATAACAGAAACATAAACTATATTTAATTTTTTTAACGTATACGTCTGGAATTTGTCGAATTTCCTGTTGTTGTTTCTTTTTCTTTTTTTTTTTTCTCATCTTTTAATGGATGAAATGCGTGACCTCTTGTGTGGGTTGTTCCTTCTTTTTAACGAAACATCCATCGTCCGTATCTCTACTCCATTTTTCTTGTTACTCTCCAGTAGCACCTCTAATTATTGTCTGTACGTATATAATTATGATCTATTTTGGTGTTGTAAGTGCCGTAAAACTCTAACTACAAAACCACAAAAACCCCAACAAACGCACATACCCTAAACTGGCCTCACGGTGATTCCCCGGTTGTTTTCTCGGGAGGATCACGTAGATAATTATGACAAATACTATTTATCACTTGCTTTTATCGTGCTATGTAATCGTTTTTATGTAACGCTTTCATCTGAGGGAAACGAAACTTAAGGGTTTTCGAACTGCTGAAAATGAAGTTGTTGTTTTTTTGTTCTGCTTAATAAAGTCCATTCGGACTGGTAGTCCACTGTCCAGAGGAAATAACCCGTCACTAATTGCAACAGAAATAATTCCGAGGTGAAGTGGTAGAAAAGGGTGTTCTGAACACCCGCCATAAATTATAACTGTTTAGGGTCTGACTTTTCTGAGATATTGGTCATTTTCTACTGACCAATTTCTGTTCTAACCCTCGAGGGTTTCCATAACTAAAAAGACGTTTTTGCTGGTTTACATCCGGGCATTCCACGGGAAGTGATCAACTTTTCCTGGAAACCTCGACACCTTTCTTCCTGTGACACACTTAACCCTAATACTTTATTAACGCAATTTCGCAGGAGTTTAAAGCCAGAAGTGCCATTTTGTGAAGTATGCAATTGTTATAATATGAGTTATAGAAATAAGCTATATCGAAAGAATTGCTTTGTTACCTCTTGTACGCTTTAAAGTCAACAAAAACACATAGACGCCTGTGCTAGCGCACAGACGTGTGCGCAAACGTGTGGGCCTTTTTTCTCCCTTTCTTAAAAAAAAAAGAAGCGGAAAAATAAGGAAGATATATTATTGATCCTTTTGGACTCGTGGGTGGTTGGAGGGCGCCACTGGTAGGGCCTGCTTCTTTTGCTTCGCTCTGTTGTCTTTGTCTTCTTCGCTGCACTATCATCATCATCATCATCATCATCATCATCCAGTGCCAGATCTGCGACAGACTTCGGCGATCATGGTTTTCTATTCATTCCTTAGCTCGGATGCTCTCAAAAAAGCTACGTTTCCCTGATCTTTCCCTGTTACCCATTTGTTTAGGTTCCCTAAGTGTGATGTTCTGGGCCTACCCCTGCCTCGCTTGCCCTCAATTTTGCCAGTTATTCAGGAGTCCCAAAAACTACATTTTTCTCTTTTCCTGATCGTTTTTAAGATTGAGCGTCTCACGTGGGCTTCATCAAGCACTACCTCATTTGATTTCTTTTCCTTCCACGATACTCTTAGCAGTCTCCTAAGAAACCACATTTCTGTTGCTTCTATTTTATTTTCACTGTCTTTAGTGATTGTCCAGCATTCATAGCCATATAGAAGGGTTGACAAAACGTTGCACTATATTTATTGATATAATAAGACGGTTATCATGTCTGTGTGCTTCTGTTTAATAGCATAACAGTGTTGCAAGGGGACTTAAAGCAATACAGTTTTCCTTTTTAAAAGTTTTTACATTTAAAAAAATGATTGCTTGTTCCAAATTGTATGGTCTTATAAGTTGTGTCGACGTGGATGTAAAGCATTTCGAAGATTACAAAAGGGGGGGGGGGCGGAGCGACATAATAAATTATTATCCAGAACCTTGTGTGGCCTCGTCGTCAGTTCTGGTACTCATCAAAATACTGACATCGAGAAAAATCGACAATTTACTGCACGTTGGACAATGTGTATCCCCCCTTTTTTAAAAGTTAGTTATAGTAGAGTTTTTACGGCGCTCGCAGCTGCGTAAGGTCATATGAGCGCCAGAAGATTAGAGGCGTTACAAGAGAGTAACAAACACAAAAAATAAAAAGGGGAGATAAAGACAATAGATGTTTGATAGGAAAGAAGGAGCGAAACCCACCAGAGCACCTGCCAACCACTATCCTTTAAAAAAAATAGGCTTTACCCCTTTTTTGTCCTTTCAAAATTTCATTTCAGTGTGGATTTTAATGGAATAACGTTATGTTGATGAGAAAGGCACTACAATGTACCTTTGCTGTTTCCAAAGGCATGCACGCTTTTGAAGTCACAATGCTTTGGTGGACATTTTTTCCTTTACCTTACCACTGACCTTAAGCAACCTCAGCTCTTCCAACCATTAATATGTCGACTTATTTTCAGGGTAGATTTGTATTTTTTAACATGAAAAGCGAGACAAACTAACAAGTTTTAAGATGATAACGATACTTCCATAATTATTATGCCTCACAGTTGATGGGCGTCTAATTCCACCGTGTCGTCACCCATGCTGCCTTTTAACCTCTCGATGTCTTGTTTGGCTTGTTCTATACTGTCCAACAATATTATTTATTTATATTCAGAAACGGCTATAGTCACAATACTGCACCCTCCCTCCCCCCCCCCAGGTTAGCGCTACTAACGAAAGTGCCTTTACTTTAAACCGTTCCCAAAGGGGGGGGGGGGGATATTAACATGTTCTTGCTGTGCACAGTAGAACAATTGTAAATGGGCTTATTTATCGATGTCATGCTCATACTGTGCCGAACAACATAGGGGGAACTGCTACTTTTTCTTTCCTCATCCTTATCATCGTCATTTTTGCCTCTACTTCTATCCGGGTGCCTTGATAGTCGAAACAGATTTTGTGCTGTTGAGGCTAGAGAGGTGAGCAGAGTAAGCTTGACTCCCCGTTTGGACTTCTCTGTCGACTTCCACCCCTTGGCGCTCATATGACCTTATGCAGTTGCGTGCGCCGTAAAACCTTACTAAAAACATTATAAAGCATGTGTCGTTTAATGAGAAAATGGCTGAAGTCCAAATAGTCATGAACATGACAAAGTCAGTAATCTTTAATACATTTTTTTTTTCAAGCAACTACTGGCGTTAGGCGCTTCATTATCGCACGCAGGAGCCTTTAGTTCGATTCATAATCGAAAATGTTCATCGAGTATCTCGGTCTTTGTGCTGGGATGGTGCATCCCTGTCCGCCCGAGTTGGTCCGGACAGGCAGTTCTGGATACGCGCCTCCTAATTAACAATTTGACTTGTATCTGTGGGAGCTTGAAAACATCTACATTTTAAAAAATGATTAGCCCCCGTTGGTCCGACTCAGTTGGTCCGACTCACCCCCCCCCAAACCACACCGCACCCACACACATTATAAACTATCCCCATCTCCAATCAACTGGCTAATCACAGAGCGTGTCGAATGGTCTTCGGGGGGTCTCTCGTGGCCTAGAGGTTAAGGTGTACGCCTCTCATTCAAAAGGTCCCGGGTTCGAATCCGGGTAGCGACGAAAAAATATTCTTCTCTAAAATGGTCTCCTTTCACCTCCTGTCATGCTCTCTATCAATGTTCTGTCGTCTGCTTTCGTTTCCACTTACTGCTCCCACCCCGTCACCTCCTTTGCCCCTTCCTCTGGGCTCCGGACTCTTTTTGCATCCTTTCTACTGCTACTACTTGGCTCCTTCTTTCTGCTGTCTTTCAGCCACACCCCTGATCTTCTGGTAGGAAAGATCTACACCTAGCCTTCTCGGACAAGGTCGAAAAATCACGGAGGTCCCGTGTGCAAGTTGCGCACATTGAAGGTCCCTTGATGGTCCAAAATCGGCAGGAGTAGGCTGCGGCCGCCACCCGGGCAAAATTCAAAATGTCCAACCAACTGAAAATGTGTAATGTGTCCCACGCGCTCATAATATGACCGTATGCAGTTGCGAGCGCCGTAAAACACTTAAATAATAAATTAATAAAATATTTAGATAAAATAGAATTTAAAAAAAATTAAAAATTAATGGTCATCGTTAACTCAATATGATCGTTTCTCACCCAAGAGTTCCACGGTCGTTCCATGTCCCCGTTTCTGTCTCTGTTTGACCCAAAGGCATGTGCTGCTTTCTGGATGAAACGAGTGCCTCTTTCTGGGCATGTTCTCCTTATCTTTCAATTAAAAATAAGAAGATGGAACTCCTCTACAAAGGATAAGGAGTATTAGTGATAAAAATAAAATTGTTGTGTTTGTTAATTCAGCTGAGTGGAACGCCGTGTCTGATTTCTGGTGCTGAGTTGTATACACGTGTGCGTGTATGTGTGTGCGTATATATATA